GTTTGGTTTTGGCTTAATGTAGGGTATGAAAGGGTAAGACGCTGAGCTTGTCGATCAGAATGGCCAGCAGTTCGAACCCCTAGCGCCGCCTAACGGAGTGAGCTCCCTGTGACTTGTCCCAGCTTCTGCCAACCTAGCAGTTCGAAAGCACGTAAAAAATGTAAGGAGAAAAATAGGGGCCACCTTTGGTGGGAAGGGAACAGCGTCCCGTGCGCCTTCGGTGTTGAGTCATGCCGGCCACATGACCACAGAGACGTCTTCGGACAGCGCTGGCTCTTCACCTTTGGAACGGAGAGGAGCACTGCCCTCTAGAGTCGGGAACGACTAGCACCCAGGTGCGAGGAGAACCGATCAATATTTGTAGTTCAGGATTGAACTCTGGGGTCCCTTGGGGCTCTCTGGGCTTGGTGGTTTCCTTGCAGGTGTCTCGTGACCCAACTAGGTAACATCATCACTGCTAAAAGGGAGTGGGTTTTGCAGAGAGGAGAAAAATAGGGGCCACCTTTGGTGGGAAGGGAACAGCGTCCCGTGCGCCTTCGGTGTTGAGTCATGCCGGCCACATGACCACAGAGACGTCTTCGGACAGCGCTGGCTCTTCACCTTTGGAACGGAGAGGAGCACTGCCCTCTAGAGTCGGGAACGACTAGCACCCAGGTGCGAGGAGAACCGATCAATATTTGTAGTTCAGGATTGAACTCTGGGGTCCCTTGGGGCTCTCTGGGCTTGGTGGTTTCCTTGCAGGTGTCTCGTGACCCAACTAGGTAATGTCATCAGTGTTAGAAGGGTTTGCTGTCTTTTTATTTAGCTTGCCCTATCAGTATTGGTAGGAATGTTCTTGGTGGTTCCTTGATTAGGTTACTATTTACTGTTTGATTGTTTGTCTGAATGTGCAGCATCTTTATTGGGATATTGTTTATTGCTTGATTGTTGGTCTGTTTTAATAGGGCAAACAACTTATAAACAGAGAACAAACTCCACTCCCTTTTAGCAGTGATGATGTTACCTAGTTGGGTCATGAAATGTCTGCAAGAAAACAACCAATTTCAGAGAGCGTCAAGGGACCCCACATTATTCCTCTTCTTCCTCCTCCTCCTCCTCCTTGCAAAAAAACCCACTCCCTTTTAGCAGTGATGATGTTACCTAGTTGGGTCATGAAATGTCTGCAAGAAAACAACCAAGTTCAGAGAGCGTCAAGGGACCCCACATTATTCCTCTTCTTCTTCCTCCTCCTCCTCCTCCTCCTCCACCTCTTCCTCCTCCTCTTCCTCCTCTCTGCAAAACCCACTCCCTTTTAGCAGTGATGATGTTACCTAGTTGGGTCATGAAATGTCTGCAAGAAAACAACCAAGTTCAGAGAGCACCAGCGACCCTCATAGTGTATGAACTTTGTCATTTGTCTCCCTGAAGGATGAAACATGGAATACCTTTTGAATGCTGCTTTTTCCTTCCTCCTTCCTTCCTTCCTTCCTTCCTTCCTTCCTTCCTTCCTTCCTTCCTTCTCAGTGGTATGATATCGACGCACTGGAACAAAGTCCGTTCCCCATGAACTACAACAGCATCCTCACCAACTTCCAGAAGCTGCTCCTCTTACGATGCTTCCGAGTGGATCGGGTCTATCGTGCCGTGACCGATTATGTCACCCTCACGATGGGTGTGAAGTACGTGTGCCTCCCCTCCTAGGCTTCCAGTGTTCTGACCCAGCCTTAACAGAACCAAGAAACAGACTCCTTGTCCCCCCAAAACCCCCTCTTTATTTAGTCACTGTGAATTCATGGCATTCACACACAGAAAAATCCGGGCAATAATCCTTCAAAGAGTTAACCGTAGTACAGACCTTATCAGGTCCTTGGGTAATTGCCAGATTGGCAGGTTCCAGCCTCAAAGCTGTAAATTAAACTCTTGTCAAGCGAAAGAAATACGAACTGTTGTCTCCTACAACTACTCCCCTTTCCTCCTATTTATTCCCCAGCTAGGGAGGGGCCATTCAGCATCCACGCGTGCCTTTCTTCCCAAGTTGTCTCTCGGTCCTCCTCTTCTGACAGCTCTGTGCATGCACACATCTGGGACAGGCCCCAGCTGTTCTTCCTCCCCACTTGTCTCCGCCTCCAAAGGCAGCTGGGGAATGTCGGATGGCCTTGGCTCTATCTCTGTTTCCCACGCACAGCCTCCGTCAGAGCCTTCCTCAGACTCCAGAACCAGCCCAAGTTCCTCCCCAATCTCCTCATCGCCCGAGTCTGCCGTCGGCTCCGCTGGCAGCTGGCAGGCCACAGCATTCAGTAGGACATCTTGGCTTCCAGGTCCACCAGATGTCCTCCTCTCTCTCTCTCTCTCTCTCTCCTCTTCCCCTTCCCCTCCTCAGGTATGTCCAGCCTCCGGTGATCAGCTTCGAGGCCATCTACGAGCAGAGTACCCCTAATTCACCCATTGTCTTCATCCTGAGCCCTGGCTCTGACCCTGCCACTGACCTCATGAAACTGGCCGATCGGTCGGGCTTTGGAGGGAACCGGCTCAAATTCCTGGCAATGGGCCAGGGGCAGGAGAAGGTAAGTTGGGTTAGAAAAGTTCTGGTAGATGGCCTTACGCTCCTTGGCTGGCGAAGTTCTGCTTTCTCCCTCGGCAGCAGAGAAACCCGTGGCTCCTCCAGATGTTGTGAATGACAGCACATAGGATGGGGTTCGCTGGGAGTTTTTCTGGCTTCCCAAACATCTGCCTATTTATTATGGGGGGAGGAATGCTTCATATGCTTTTAGTATCTTTATACTTCTTTGCTTCTCGCTCAGTTATTACATTTTCACCTGCAATTCTAAGGTGGCAGGCTGAACCGAGGTAGGCCTCGAGCCTGAACCAAACTAGGGTTTCATGATATTAAGCTTTAACTTTGAGTATTTGAGTATTTGAAAATTTATTTATAGGCCGCCCTTTTCCCTGGGGGGACTCAGGGCAGCTCACAACTCATGGGGAGGGGGATACAAACAATAACACATAAGAGCAATACATAATTAAAAATAGAGCACAACATTCATACCATTCAGGTGGGGGTGAGTTACATTCTTTAACCCCAGGCCTGACGGGATANCGCTACCGGTTCTCCGAACTACTCAAAATTTCCGCTACCGGTTCTCCAGAACCTGTCAGAACCGGCTGAATTTCACCCCCGGCGGCGAAGGATTCAGTTTTCATTCCATTTTGCCTGATGGGCTAATGAGGGGATTCCCCGTAGACGAGGTCAGGGTAGGGCCTTGGGAGCGAGAGGTGTGAGTGCAGCAGATGTAACTGTCCTTGGGGCAGGTTTGACTTTGGGACGTTGCCCCCCCTGTTCTCAGATGGCTTCCTTCAACGACCCGGATTTCCTCAAGCAGCTGGAAATGGCCATCAAGTACGGGAACCCTTTCTTGTTCCACGATGTGGATGAATACATTGACCCGGTCATTGATAACGTCTTGGAGAAAAACATCAAAACCAGCCAGGGACGGATGTTCATTATTCTCGGGGACAAGGAGGTAGACTACGACCCCAACTTCAAGCTCTACCTGAACACCAAGCTGGCTAACCCTAAATATTCACCATCCGTGTTTGGCAAAGCCATGGTCATCAACTACACAGGTGAGCCAGGCTGGCAGTCTCCCTGGCAGATTGACCACCTCTCCCTCCTCCTCTTCTTCCTCCTCTCCTTCCTTCTCTTCCTCCTTTTCATCTCCTTCTCTTTCTCTTCCTCCTCCTCTTCTTCCTCCTCTCATTCCTTTCCTCTTCCTCCTCTTCGTCTCCTCCTCCTCCTCTTCCTCCTGTCTCCTCCTTCTCTTTCTCCTCCTCTTCTTTTCCTCTTTCTTTCTCCTCTTCCTCCTCTTCATCTCCTTCTTCTCCTTCTCTTTCTCCTCCTCTTCTTCCTCTCCTTCCTTCTCTTTCTCCTCTTCCTCCTTTTCATCTTCTCTTTCTCTTCCTCTCCCTCTCCTTCCCCCTCTCATTCCTTTCCTCTTCCTCCTCTTCCTCCTCTTCCTCCTCTTCGTCTCCTCCTCTTCCTCCTGTCTCCTCCTTCTCTTTCTCCTCTTCTTTCTCCCGTTCCTTTCCTCTTTTTTTCTCCTCTTCCTCCTCTTCATCTCCTTCTCTTTCTCTTCCTCCTCCTCTCCTTCCTCCTTTCATTCCTTTCCTCTTCCTCCTCTTCATCTCCTCCTCCTTCTCTTCCTCCTGTCTCCTACTTCTCTTTCTCCTCTTCTTTTCCTCCTTCTCTTTCTCCTCTTCCTCCTCTTCATCTCCTTCTTCTCCTTCTCTTTCTCCTCCTCTTCTTCCTCTTTCTCCTCTTCCTCCTTCTTTCTCTTCTTCCTGTCTCCTTCTCCTCTTTCTCCTTCTCTTCCTCCTCTTTGTTGCCTCCTTCTCTTTCTCCTCCTCATCTCCTTCCTTTCCTCCTTCTCTTTCTCCTCCTCCTCTTCTTCCTCTCCTTCCTTTCCTCCTCCTTTCTCCTCTTCCTGTCTCCTCCTCCTCTTTCTCCTCCATCTCCTCTCTTTCTTCCTTTCTTGCTGCTGCTGCTGCTCCTCCTTCCCCTTTTTCTGCTCCTCCTCTTCCTCCTCCTCCTCCTGAGACGATCAACCACAGCATCAATGAAAGAATGCAACACCAATTACAGTATTGGACACGGCCAAATTTCAGACTGCGGGAAGCAGGTGGAAACGCAGAGCCGTCCCCTGTTTCCTCAGCTCCTCGACTCCTCTTTCCCCCAGTGACCTTGAAGGGGTTGGAGGACCAGCTGCTTAGCGTGATTGTGGGCTTCGAAAGACGTGAACTGGAAGAGCAGCGGGAACATCTCATCCAAGAAACCAGTGAGAACAAAAACTTGCTGAAGGACCTGGAAGACTCCCTTCTCCGTGAACTGGCTACCTCCACGGGGAACATGCTGGACAACGTGGAACTGGTCCACACCCTGGAGGAGACAAAGGCCAAAGCTAATGAGGTGAGACCACCGCCCTGGCTTATAGTGTCCTGACCGAGGCTTCCCGAGAGCCTGAAGCAAACTCCTGGTTGCAACAAAAAGCCCTTTTATTCATTGACTGTGAATTCTGCTCATTCACATCCAGCAAAGTCTTTCGAGGGAGGATTTACGGTCACAGACCTTATCTGGCTTGGAGAGATGCCAGGCTGGTATCTGCAGAACTTGGCAAGGAGTCTCGGACAGTGAGGAGGGTTGGGGAGGAACCTGGGCCAGTCCTGGAGTCTGGGGAAGGCTCTGAGGAGGGCTCTGCGTCGGAGGCAGAGAGGGGGCCAGGGACGTCCGACAGTTATCAGCTGCCTTCGGAATCAGACATCAGTGAGGCAGAAGAGCAGCTGGAGCCTGTTCCCAGTGTGCGCCTGCGCAGAGTGGCCAGACGAACAGCTAAAGAACAGGGGTCGACTTGGGAGTAAGGCAACAGGTGGACGGTGAATGGCCCCTCCCAGAGGGAATAAAAGAGGAGCGACAGGGGAGTGGAGTTTGCAGGAGACCATTAGTTCGCTTAATTGGCTCGTGACTCTCCGAGACTCCTGGCCAAGTTCTGCAGAGATTGGCCTGGCAGCTCTCCAAGACAGATGAGGTCTGTGACTGTAAATCCTCCCTTGAAAGACTTTGCTGGAGGCAAATGAGCAGAATTCACAGTCAATTAATAAAAGGGATTTTTTGTCGGGAGAAGGAGTTTCCTTCGTGCTCTTGGGAAGCCTCGGTCAGAACATCAAGTGCTCACCTCCTTTGGTACACTTAAGTATCCAACGTGGCAGCTCCTGCCTCTAAAAGGAAGACGTTTCCTTTTAGGTCTCTGACAAACTCAAGCTGGCCGAGAAAACAGCCATCGACATCGACAAACTGCGAGATGGCTACCGCCCTGCGGCCAAGAGAGGCGCCATTTTGTTTTTCGTGCTGTCCGAAATGGCCCTGGTCAACACCATGTACCAATACTCCTTGTCCGCCTTCCTGGACGTCTTCGGTCTCTCGCTCCGGAAATCTATGCCCGACACCATCCTTGCCAAGAGGTTGCGCAACATCATGGACACGTTGACTTTTAATATTTACAACTACGGCTGCACGGGTGAGTCGGGGTACCACCACCCCCCCGTCGGTGGTCGAGGCCACGTGGAAGGTTTTGAGAGGGGGTACGTGCCACGTGGATGGCCGTGTCGAACCTGTTGCGTTTCACCTTAGAGCCACAAATGGCGAGCTGCTCTTCTGGATTACAGCTCATATGCGAATGCCGGCTAGCTGGTCTTCGCGGGCGGCAGAAAACGGCCTGAAAACGGTCCCAAAACACAGGCCGTTTTCCGGGTTGGTTTTAGGATGTTTCCCGGGCCATTTTCAGGCAGCTTTTGGCCTGGAAAACGGTGCGAAAACGGCCTGAAAAACAAGCAAGAAAACCAGGGATTCTCTCTGCTAACGGAGGCCGTGATGCTTTCATCCCCAGGCTTGTTTGAGAAGCACAAACTCCTTTTCTCCTTCAACATGACCATCAAGATTGAACAGGCCGATCACAGGGTTCCCCAGGAAGAGCTGGATTTCTTTCTGAAAGGTACCAGGGTATTTTTCCATCTTCCAGAGCAGATCTACTTTCAGCCCTGAGCCTGGTGGTGCCTTTGTTTACGCAGCGATTTGGGTTTCCAGGTTTTATTACCCTTCAAAGCAGGCCTGCCGGCTTTATTTATAGTTCCAATTTATATTGTTCAATCCTGTAGACCTAAATATATATATATATAAAAGAATAGAATCCCAGCAGGAGAAAAAAAATCACAACTCGGAAGGCCTGGCTGCATTATAAAAAATCTTAAATCCTTAAAATAGATCCTTTTTTTCTTATTATTATTATTTAAAAAAAACAGATATCACTGAATAACAGGGACCTTGGAGGTCTTCTAGTCCAACCCCTTGCTCAGTTCCACCGTGCATACCTCCCGCTGGCCAGCTGTTTTTCCTTGTCCATGCGGGAGACGTGTGTGAATGCACACAAATGGTTTTCCAGTGTCTTCTTAAATACCTCCAGGGTTGGCACCAAATGGCAGTTCTGGCGCGTTCTCTCTGCGGTTTCCAATCATTAACCTACTTTTAGAATTAAATCTTCACCAGCTGAAGGAACTTCCAATAAATCACTGGCCAAGACTGTCTTGAGATTTCCTGAGCACTCAGATCAATTGTTCAGCTCTCTTTTAATTTAAGGAAGGTTCCATGGTACACGGATTCTCAGCCATCCACGTCAGGATTCTCCCAAAGGGGCTTTTTTTTCAAGAGGAAACTGGAGTTTTTTTGGGGGGGGAGGTTTGAAGGCATTTCACTTTTCGTCCAAGAAGCTTCTTCAGCTCTGACCGGATGGTGGAGAATGGAAGGATTTATACTCCTTGCAGACAGCTGGCCATTTGCATCCTTTTAGAGGGTCGTTGAGGCCACTTGGAGGTTTTATCTGTGTCCTCAGAAGGGTCACCTGAGTGGTGCAAATGGGTGTGGAACTGTTGAAAGGATTGTGTTGTAGACCGGGGACAGATGAGGTCCTATCCCTCCCCCTCTGTTGAGAGAGGGATGTTCAATTTGGACATCACTTTGACCCTGAAGACACAGATAAAACCTCCAAGTGGCCTCAACGATCCTCTAAAAATGATGCAAATGACCAGCTGTCTGCAAGGAGTATAAATTCTTCCATCCACCACCATCCGGTCAGAGCTNAGACAACTGGAAAACCCTCCCTTTGCCATAGAGTCTTCTCCTGGTGCACTGTGCCTCTCCCCCCCCACCCCCCCGGAAGCTCCTCTCAAAATTGTGGTGCCTACCCGTGACGGAGCCGCAGCAGAGGGAGGAAAGAGCCACATGCGGCTCCAGAGCCGCAGTTTGCTGACTTCCCTAGTACCTTGATGGCGGACCTATGACGCGCATGCCGGAAGTGGCACACACAGGCCCCTCTGCTGGCACGCGGGCGGTCGACCCAGGTTAGATCTCCGTGGCGTTTCTTTCGTGAGCTTCTGCTGCCCTGCTCACAACGAAACAGAAGCTCATGGAAGAAAAAAGATCTTATCTCTTGTTGGGATGCCCCGTCCTCCCGCTGTCCAGTTGGTCTTCGGGTCCCTGCTGCGCATGGGCGCATATCCATTTATGTGCACGCCCGCGCATGTGCATGTTTGCTCATGCGCACACCTTTCAGTGTGGGCATGTGTGCCAGGGGTGGCTCCTGTTAACGCCGGTTCGCTCAGGGACGCGGTTTGTGTGTGCTTGATGCGCCCTACGCGCGCATGCGCAGAAGCAAAAAAGCAAGATGGCGGCACCTATGGCACCACCGATAGAACCCGTTCGGGGGCGTGGCCAGCCTACTCATCCAAACCGGTCCGAACCAGTAGGAACCCACCTCTGATGCACATGCGCGCAGTTTGAGCACTCAGTGTCTAAAAGGTTCACCATCAGTGGCCTAGTAGATCAACACACTTAAGCTTTGGAGACAACCGTAGTCATCCAGGTGCATTTTATGGTGCTCGGTTCCTCAAGAGGTCCATAAATTGGATCCAGTGTCTTCCCACTGCCCTCTTTTCAGCTGGATCTCTCCATGGATCCACACTCCTTTGGTTGAAGGTCTCTTCTGGCTCCAACCCTGGAGACACCTCACGCTCCCATCTCGTTCTCCTCCCAGGTGGCGCTGACGCTCCTGGAGAACGCCGTGGCCCGTGGACAGTGGCTCATGTTGCAGAATTGTCATCTCTTGGTGAAGTGGCTGATCGACCTGGAGAAGGCCCTCGAAAGGATTACCAAGCCTCACCCGGATTTCCGACTCTGGTTGACCACTGACCCCACCAAAGGTTTTCCCATTGGGATCCTTCAGAAATCTCTCAAGGTAAGTGACACAACTCAACTCCGATTTGCTCTTTTGGTAGAGGAGGCATCAGAGCATGGGAGCCAATCTTTGGTGGCCACCCCCTCCCCCTTTCCATTTGTCCATCCCTGGGGGGGAAAAATCCACCTGATCAAATCACGTCATTGAGGCAGATGATCTGCCGAGAGAAGAACATCCCAAACTTCCTGAGGGACAGGTGTTCATCAGTGTCACTGGGCTTAATTTGGGTGAGGAGTCAGGGACACGAAGGACACAGTGGGTGCTGTGGCTCACCAGCGGTGGCAGATTCAGAGAGTGAGGAGGGTTGGGGAGGAACCTGGGCCAGTCCTGGAGTCTGGGGAAGGCTCTGAGGAGGGCTCTGTGT